CATTAATTAAAACTCCTCGAGCATATTCGTCTACAAATTTGGACGACTCAATTACTTCGTTTAAAATAATTCATACCCAATACCCTAAAGCTCCCATTATGACTATTGGATATAGTCTTGGAGGAATGATTCTAACACAGGTGGTTTGTAGATTAACAAATGAGTTTATCAAAGAAGTAAATTATTTAGGGTGCATTGCTGTATCCCCAACATGGGACTCTTTGATAATTTCTGATTTAGTTCCACAACTGTTTATGGAGAACTTTTTTAAATCACTTCAACGTATTATTGTAAAGAATGTAGAGTTATTAATGGGTGCAGTAAAGAATAAAGTAATTAATGTTGATCTTCAAGTATTATATAAACAAGCTACAAGAAAGAACATCTTAGGATTTGACAAAAACTTTAATTCTAAAATATTTAAATATGGGAGTTATGAAACATATTATTATGATATAGAACTTTGGTATTCTTTATTAGCACATTCTAAAGTTCCTTTCCTCACATTCAATTCACAAGATGATCCTATTGCAATATCAAGTAAAGGAAGTAGATCAAGAATATCTAATGCTATTCATGCATCATCAAACACAATCTCTATTTTCACTCAAACAGGTGGTCATTTGGGATGGGTTGGAAATAAAAAGGGATCAGCTGGATGGGATGACAGAGTTGCATTACAGTATTTTGATGCATTGGTTGAGTTAAACAAAAATGGAGAACTGGAAAAACTCATTAATCAAAATTAATTATTTTGTTATATATTACAAATTTATAAAAATATAATTAGTTTTTGTTTTTTAATAATCTAAAAAAAGAACATTTTTATAATTTTTAAAAATAGTTTGTTTCAAATAAATTCAGGATTCTTAAAATAAATTTAAAAGATTGTTTTTAAAATAAGAATGAAAGTTATTTTAATTTCTTTATTTATTTTAATAGAGAAAAGACTTGTTTATTCTTTTACTAATTCATTTGTCATTTTATATTTCAAATGACTGATTATATGAAGTCTTATCATTCCTTGTTTTTAAAAAGTCAAACTTCAAAATTTATTAATAGAGTTATTTAAAAAAATAGTTGAGGGAGGATATTAATAAAATACCCTCATCATTATTTGATTGGTCAATTTGATCTCAATAAGAAGGAAAAAGAATGTCAGTTGAGGGGATGAAGTGGACAATCATGTTTGTACCAAAATTGAAATAGTATGAAAGTTAGAATCAAAATAATAAATCAATGAACAGAAAATCTAATCATTTTCATCTCTTTCTTATTCTTTTTTTTTCATGTTTGACATCATTATTTAAAGATTGAGAAATACTGGATAATCATTAAGAAGAATGGAAGCAATGGAATACAATGAAGATTATCAAATGAATAATCATACTATTCACACTATCCCAACTAAAGCTGGTTCATTGAAACTTGGTGGGTTTGTTGTGATTGAAAAATTCCCATGTAAAATCACTGAATTTAATAAAACTAAGGATGGAAAACATGGACATGCAAAAGTAACATTAACTGGAATTGATGTTTTCACTGGGAAAAAGTACACTGATTGTTGTCCTGCTCATTCTAACATTGATGTTCCAGTAATAAAAAGAGTAGAATATCCTCTTCAAGATATTGATGATGGTTATTTGAGTCTTCTTAATGAAGATGGGTCATTAAGAAATGATATTAAACTTCCTAAAAATGAACTTGGAAAACAAATTGAACATGAATTTAATGATAAATCTCTTATATGTATTGTCCAAGTATTTGGTGATCAAGAGATGGTTATTGGCTACAAAGAAGATAAAGATTAATTCTACTTTCTTTTTTTATAATTTTATTTTGTTAAATCACTCAAAAATTAATAAATAAACAATTTGTATGAAATTGAAGAATAATGTTCTCTTATTCAAGAATATTGTTAAATAAAATAAACAAATTTTTGATTATAAAATAGTTATTGTAATGTATCTTTTTCATATTATAGTTTATTTCTTTATTATTTTTGTATATTAATATTCTCATTTTAAACTAAAAAATAATATTCATTGGGATTTGATGTTTAGTATATTAAAATGAGTGGATTCAATACTTAGATGAATGAGAACAAATGAACAGAAAAAAGAATTTTATTTTATTGTACTATTAGAGAACATTTATAACTTATATAAACACTCAAAAACTACTATTCATATTTATTTATTTAATAAACCAATAGATTATTGTGATGTTCTAATGTTTATTTTGATGTTATTTATTTTATGATTAAAAAGAATATTTAACTATTTTAAATAAAGATGTATTTATTAATTGCAATAAAGAAGAACTTAGTTTAATATATATATTAATAATTCTTATCTTATCAACATTTAGATGATGAAATAGATATTTGTTGATAAAATGAAATCATAACCACATTTCTATTTACATAATCTAAATCATGTATCATCATTTTATAGTTCAATTGTTGTTATAACAACATATATGTGTAATAAATTATAAGAAATAACTTAAATATGATAATATCAAGAATAATATTCAAAGTAATCTAAAGAAGAATATTCAAATAAGTATAATAAATCGTTATTATTATTATAACAAAATTAACACAATCACTGGATTGCTGATACTTTGTTTATAATATGAAATAATGATTTGTCAAATATTTGATTAATAGATTAAGATAAAAATTAAGAGTGTATAGAAGAGAAATAAACCCATAATCTTTTTTTAAAAAAGTAATTTTAAGTTTCTATTGACATTTTTTATGATAGACGAACGTAAAATGTTTACTCCAATACAATTATTTGGAAGACAAATTGATGAAAATTTTAACACAAATACTGTTCAAAAACACTTTCAAAAAGTGATTGAATGTTATGACAAAAAAGAAATACAAACATTTAATGACTTCTTTTATGCACTATCAGTGATACTCCCTCGTTCTACTATCGGAAGTTTTAAACAAATGATACGAAGTCTTGACTTACCACAACTTGGAAAGATACCTTTAATAAGTAAATTTTTTCGAGATGTTTCTTTAATAGATCCACAATCAGGAACAAAAGTAGGAAATGTTTTAAGTAAAATGAATCCAACAACTAACCCTGAAAATATCATTAAAGTGGCTGAATTATCATTAGGTAAAAAGGAAGAAAGTTTTCAAGAATTTAAGAATGTCCTTGAAAAAGTATGTAACTCAAAACCAAGTGCCTTTGTTATTCAACATTTTGGAGGAGATGGATTTGGGATATTTACAGATGAAGACGAAACAGGAAATGGTTTTGTTGAAGGGAGAATTGAAGAAAGAAATGAAAAGATGGAGGAATGTGATGAGAACGAACTAGAAAGAAAAAAAGAGGCAGAGAGATTGATCAGAGAAGCTTTTTCTGATGGAGAAGAAAAGTTAGAAGGAAAAATAACTCTCAGGACATCTAAGCAAACACCAACCATAGAAAACCAAAACGATTTACCAAAACAGTTTACGCAAGAACAAAGTAATAAAACTATTAATGTCAAGTCAACTAATACTTTTAACAATGGTTATGAAGAAAAAACAAAAGTACAAGAAAAAAAAAGTCAAATTGAAAAGAATGAAGAAAGTCCTCGTTCTAAATTATTCTCTTTAAATAAAGTAATTCAAGAAAAAGAACAAGAACAAACTCAACAAGCTTTAGAAAAAATAATTAAAGAAATACAAACTAAAATAATGAAAGGATATGTTTTAGAAAAGAATGAAACAAACGAAAAATTGTTGAAAGAATTGTCACAACTAATTCATTTTAATTTATAAAAAAACGTTTGTTTTATAATTTTGAAGTGCTTGTCAATGGTTCTAATAGGATATTAAATTAATAAAATTATTTACTTCATCTTTAATACGATATATCATTGCACAATTCTATTGTTTTTTTCTTTAATCATTTAAGAATTTGTTATTAAAAAAGGAATGTGTATTTGTTTAAGTTAGTGCTGGTATTATATACCATAGAAACTTTTTTAAGTCAATCAAATAAATTAAAATAATAATTTTTTTGAATAAAACTAAACCAATTATTCATTTGAAATTAAATTAGTGAATGTAAAAAGAGTATAATAAAAATATAATAATAACAAATTTATTATTTATTTAAAAAATAAAAAAAGAAATATAAAACAAAATTTGAAATAACAAAATACAGCGATTAACTAAAAACCAAGAATTTGTTGAATTGTAAAGTCGTTTCTACTCAAGAGAATATCATCGTCATTATTAAAAAGAGAACATATAAACGAATTAATTTCTTGTCCTTTATCAAGAATCTGTTTAGTATGAAAGAAATCTTTAATATAAAATATGTTTTTATCTACATGAGTCTTTCCTTTACTTGAGTGGACTAAATAATTTTTCATTTCAATTGCATCTAATAAAATATTTAATGTTTCTTTTATTAAATTCTTTTCAAACCTTCTTTCTACACTAGATATTTGAATACCATTTAAAAGATCTGAATCATATATTTCATTACATCTATTATCTATATATTCAGCTAATGGAATTTCATCATTTTCTGTAGTAATTGATATAATTCTAAAAAATGGATATTCCTTCATCTTATTTAGTTTGGGTTTTTCAATTCGAATATCATAAAACTTATTCAATACCCCAATATAGAAACTTTGTAAACTTGAGTCATTTTCTTTTCCTTTTCTTTTCCAATGACTTTCATTGGTGACTTTAGGTGACTTAGATTGCATAATGAATAGGATCTAAAAAAGAAGAAACTTTTATTATTTTCATTTTAAAAACAAATCATAATTTTGTTGTTTTTTTTACAAAAACAAAACTATTTTATTCTTTATTTTTCCTATTTTTCGTATATTTTCTTTTTTAGGGGTTTATTACTTTCATTTTCTTTTAATAGAAATTTTTAGACCCAATAAAGTATTTATTTTTGTGAATCTTATATCAATAAATGGAATTTATTAAAAAGTTATATTTAGAAGAAATTATTAATTCATTTAATCATCTAATAAAATTATTTTATTTTTTCCAAAAGAAAGAAATTAAAATCAAATCAATGGTTCTCTAATTATATAAATATCAAAAGTAGATTTATTAAATCAATTAAATTTATGTTTTCAAATATGTTTCATTTTACATTAAAAGGTTTAAAAACTAACAAAAATGGAACAAAGTGTTTTTGTGTCTAAACATAATTTAAAATAAAATTATTGTCTTTCGCTCTGAAAGAGAGATTTAATTTAACATCTTCTAATATATACATTTATTTTTAACAATTTTGTTTATAATATTAGAACATTGTTTTGGTTGTTTATCATTTGAGCGAAGAACATCTAGTGTTTTATTTATTTATTATCTTTAATAAGTAGTTGGTGTTTATTAAAAGAACAAATTACATTTTAATTAATTGTGTGTTCAATAAATTGTATTGATAGTTCCAATTTTTAAAGAACATAAAAGAATATTATTACAAATAGGAAGAGTATACTTCTTTTTATATTTGTTTCTATTTACATTTATTAATAATAATTTATTACAAATAAAACATTTTATTATATCAGATTTTTGTAATTTATGTTATAATTTATCTCTAAGATTGATATAATTTATTAATTAATAATGAAAATTCATAACATTTGTGATATATTCCTTTTAAAAGGTTATAGCCTGGATTCTTAATTAGAGTATTTTTTTAATGCTAATATTAAAATAGGATAGTCTCATTGCTCTTTGAACTGGTTGAATTAATAATTTTTCTAATTCTTGATGACCTGACTCTGTTAAGTCTTTGTTTGTATTGACTAGATCTTTTATACATTTTATTGTTTTAATTTGTTCCCCATACATTAGTCCAACGCTATAATTAATAGTAAATTTTAATATTGATGATGCAAATATATAACACCATTCTAAAACATTAGAAATTACTTTATCTGAGTTATATTTATCTAACCCTTTTCTTAAACAAAGCTGATTCTCATTGAATTAATATAAATTTTATCATAAAGTTTATTAAAAATATTCATTTATTAATTCTTTCTAAATTAATCCCTTATTAGCAAGTTCACTTAGAGTATTTATAAAATAGTTATTGATAAGTTGTAAATTTTAGTATAACTTCTCTTCTGTTTCAGTTAATTCTTTAAACATTTTCTTTCTTTTAATAAGTAATGTCGTTTTATATTTATTTCTGATCAAGAATCCTCTTAAATATGATTGAAGTAAAATAATTCTCTTATCGTTATTCTCAACTACTTTTTGTATTTGTTTGTAATGAATACTAGTTTAGGAGAAGGAAGCAATAGTGGTTTTGTGGTTATTACTTCTTTACTTTTTGAGTTTTAAACTTATTAAGAGAAATAACTTCATTTAAGATTCAGTTATTTTTTTCGTTCTACATTTTCTAATAATAATTGCTCTGGGTTATTCTTTTTCAGCTCAAGCACTTTTACTTTCTTTTTTTTATAACTTTATTTTGTTCCGGTCTTAACTCTAAGCACTAAGGTAATATTACTTTATCTTCTTTAATTAAATTATCATATTTTCAACTTTTTATAAAACTATTTAATTGTCTAATGCCTTTTTATATGAAGTGATCTCTTTACTTGTAGCGATAGTCTTGGTCATAAGAAGTTATTTTTCTTCTAGGTTGTTCACTTTTTATTTTTTTATTATTTACTTATTGTTCCTCTTGTGATTGTTTTTCTTCTTCCTTATTTTGGTTTCGTGATAAGAGATATTTAGGAGTCCATTACTTGTTAATCTTCTTATGTTTGGAAATAATAGTCTTAATTTTCTTCAATACGTCTTTCTTTTGTTATCAAAATTATTATTCATTACTTATTGCTAAGAGGTTGTAACCTCTAATTTATTTAAAGGTGAATTTATTAGTAATAAAGGTAATGGCTCATATTTTTTCTTGTGTTAAAAGAACTAATAAGGTTGTTTTTTTTCAATAGGTTTTACTTTCTTTTCACTGTTCAGTAATTTGTGAAATAACCTTAGATGTTCTAAAATTCTATAGATCTTCTCTAATCAGTTCAAAAGGTGCTTTTTTGATTAACACCTTTTCCTCATTAGAGATTTGTCATTTAATGATAGCATTAACCAACATTATTATTAATGTTTTTAAAGAATGTTTTCATAAATAACGTTTATTTATTATTTTTCTTCTATTTGTAAATATTTAAAAAATATCTAATAGAGAAATTTGATATTTGATTAATATAACTACTATTTCAAATATTTATAATTTAGTGAGTTCGTATATTACTAAAGGATAATCTAAAATATATTTCATAACTACTTCAATTTCTTTATATTTAAAAGTTGTTCTATTGAAATTAATTTCAATATCACTATGAATAAGTTTTGATTGATATACTAAAGAAGATAATGTTGATTTTTGAAACTTGAGGTTACTCAGAACATTTCTAGAGAACAAGAATCTATCTATTTTAGAATATAGAATAATTAAATAATTCATCTTATGTTAATTTAATAATTCTAGATTCTATTTTGAAATATTTATTTTTAAGCTAATAACAACACTTATTTTATTCATATGTTATAAATTAAGATAAGGTTTATTCTAGGACTAATATGATTTTATTTCACTTCTTTGGTTTTTATGTTTTTACTCTCATTAGTTAGAAAAATAAGAACTACCATAAAAAATTTATTGTTATTAGGTACGTAGTTTATGTTAGCTTAAAATTTCATTGTATAAAGAGGTTATATAACTTCCCTCAACAGAGTTTTATTTAAGAGTTTTATTTAAAAAGAATAATTTTAAATCGTTAGTTATTTCTAAAATCTTATTTATTTTTCTTTTTAATATAATAATTAATTAAATCTAAAGTAACTCTTTTCTTAATTAAACAAAGAAAATTTAAATATTTTATAAACAAAAAAACACGAACATTACTTGAATAAAAAATCTTTTAATAATCAAAATGAATTTGAATATAAAATTGTATCTAAAATTAAATTTAAGATACATAATACTCTGTTTCTATTTCAGAGCAAAAATAAAAAAACCATTTTCAATTAATTTTCATAATCATTAAATCTTCTGATATCTTGTAATTGTGGATGATCTTCATTTAATGATTTGGCCATGTATGGACCATCTAAAGTATAACCAAATTTTCTATAATAGTGCCGTACTCCAACACCAGAAATAATAACAATTTTATCACTTCCATGCTCTTCTCTAGCAATTCTTTCAGCTTCTTGAATAAGTAAAGCACCATAACCCATATGTTGGAACTGATTTAAATTCTTAGTATTAACTGGAATAGAAGTACCATAAACATGTAATTCTCTTATGATTGATGTTTTTCCTTTAAGTTCTGGCATAAACTTTTCATCAGTTGGAAGTCTAAGTCTTAACAATCCAATTAATAAATCATTTTCTGGGTCTTCATATGATAAGAATGTTTCCCATCCATCAGAACCAACATAATCTCTTCTTATCAATTCAATATCTTTTACACATTTAATTTTCTTTCCTGGTTTACCTTGTAGAGCAGCAATACCAACTTCTCTAGTTCTAGTATCTCTACATGGCCAATTATTAGCATCCATTTGACGTTGAACGTATTCTCTTAAATTACCTTTATCAGCACCAGCAGAAACTAATGGAATTGGAATATCTCTTTGAATACGATGCACTCTTACCCAAGGTGGAATTAATGCAAGAATACGTGAAAGGACATCAATAGTTTCTTCAGATGTATATGAATGATAATGTCCTTTTCTCCACATTTCATATAAACGAGTTCCACGAATAACAAGACATGGATATAACTTTAATCCATCACATTGATATGCCCCATCACTAAACATTTCACTATATGTAAAAACATCTCTTTCAGGTGGTACACCTGGAAGATTTGGCATCATATGAGTAACAATCTTATATCCTGCATCTTTTAATCTCTTATAACATCCAATACAATCTCGAACAGTATGTCCTCTATTACATTCTTTACAAATATCTTCAAAAATTGATTGTAATCCAATTTCTAAACGAGTTGTTCCATATCTAAACATTTCTCTTATATGATCCTCTGAACAACAATCAGGCCGTGTTTCAATAGTTAAAGCAACACATTTTACTTTAGAATTTTCTCCATAATGTACTGCCTCTTCAACAGTAGATGAGACATGTCCTGATAATGCATCAAATAACCCAAGAATAAAAGAGTCTCTATAATGTTTATCCATAGAAAGGAATGTACCTCCCATAATAATATACTCAACTTTTTCAACACTATGACCAAGTTTTTGAAGTTGCTCTACTCTTGATCTTGACTGAATATATGGATTATATCTTGCACGAACAGCACGCATAGAAGTTGGTTCATAACCAGTATAAGATTGTGTAGAATATTCAAAATCAGAATCACAACCACCGGGACAATAAACACATGAATCACCGTTAGTTCTAATGTTTGGACAACGATGTGGTTTACACATTACAGCAATAGCAACAATACCTGAAGCAGTACGAACTGGTTTTGATTTAACAATAGGAAGAAGAAATGGACGATGAGAATCAGGAATAGCGGCGATAATATCAACTTGTTTAGGTGCTGTATGTAAATTATGTTTTTGAGCCATTTGAGACTTTAATTTATTTAAATTAATTTCTTCACCTTTTTCATATAAGTCAATCATCACTTGAACAATTTCATTAATGCATGCAACAAATTGAACAGAATTTCTTCCATACTTAGCAGGACCTTTACGCCCTCTAATAACGTTGGATTTCATTTAATTTGTTAGTTTTTGACTGTTAAAATTTTTATGAAAAATAAACAGGAGGGTTTTGTTTTTTACTATTTTTCTCTTTTGAGGTTTTTAAAAAGGGATATTTGATGGTTTTATTTTATTCTAAACAGAAAAATAAGACTCAAACAAATCAATTTAATAACTGATATATATTAATTAAATTATATGATTTATAAATTAACTGTACTATACATAAATATAATTCAACAAATTTATAATCACTTCTTGTGGCTTGTCTGTATAAACTATACAATAGAAGTTGTACATTTAAGTTAACAAGCATTTACTTTGTTAGTTCGTAATGAACTAACAAAAATAAAGGGTTAAAAATAAGGGTAAAAATAATATAAAACAATTTTTTAGTAATAACACAATTTCGATAACAAATAAATTTTTTAATTTAAATTTTTTAAATAAAAACAAAGGAAGAACTAAAAAGAGTAAAAAACAGAATGATTATTTTAATATTATTACTTGCTATTCTCTGTTCATCTAAAATGGTTGTGGATGTCCTATCTTTTAGAGAACCAATTGAACCAGAAAATGTTGTTAGAAATTATGACATGAAAGGGCCAATTATGGTATTTGAGAATTATGTACAAATTACTCCAAATGGTATTGGAAGAAGCTCAAGAATGAATGGGAAACATAAAGTAGATTTACCAAGTTTTGAGTTACAATTAAAATTTAATGTTATTTGTAAAGAAAAATGTGGTGGAGGGATGGGAGTATGGTTAACTGAAGAAAAGTTAAAAGAAGGAGATTTATTTGGAGCATACAACATCTACAAAGGAATTGGAATATTTATCAATTTTGAAGATGTTGATATACCTATGATATCAGTACTAAAAAATGATGGAGTTGATATATTAAAATATAAACCAGAAATGTATTATCAATGTACCGCTGCTAATATACAAAAAGATAAAGATGGATCTGTTTTGAGAATAAAATACTTAGTGAACGAAAGAAAACTTATTATTGAAATTATGGTCAATCATATAAATATGGACTGTGTTATTATTGAAGATATTGATATCCCTCCATTTTATATGGGAATATCTGCTACTAATGGAGGAAGTGATTCAACTAGTTATAGAGTTCAATCTTTACAATACTATGAAATTGGTAGTAAAGAAAAAAAAGAAGTACGTTTAAAAAATATTTCAGAAAATGAACAAATAAATAGTACTCCAGAAACAAAAGCAGAGAAAGCAAGTAACAGAATTAAAGAAAGAAAACAAAATAATCTTAATAAAGAAAAACATCGTGAAAATGAACGAATTCAAAACCTTCAAAAATTAGAAGAATCCAATAAGTCTTTAAAAGAAAATGATTATCACACTAAAGAGAGTAAAAAAGAAGATACACAAAACATAAAAGTAAATAACTCTTTAAATAAAGAAGAAAAAGAGGTAAAAGAAATAAAAGAACAAACAATAATAGAAGAAGATAAAAAACAAGAAGAAGTAAAACATCAACAAATTATTGATGATCAAGAGGGACAAAAAGAAAATATTCAAAACCAAGAACAAATGAAAGAATTAAAACAAATAAGAATTCAAGATGGATTATATCAAATTTATAAGGCTATTGCACCAATGAAAAATGCCTTAGATAAAATTGCTCAAGTTAAAAAAGATGATGAATTATTAAAGCTGTTTGATGGAATTGTAGTAGATGAAAATAACAAAGCTAAAAACCAATTAAAAGAAATTTTAGATAAAATCGAATTAGGTAAAGTATCAAATAATGTTTTTGGGGTTCGTTCTGACTTAATGCAAGTTAAAGTACTATTTTCAGGTGTTCAACAGAGCGATTGGAAAATTTTTTGGATAGTTTTATTAGTACCTCTTATTTTAGCAACATATTTTGCATTTAAATTGTCTATGGTAAAGAAAATAAATCATTATGATTAAAAGAAGAGTAATTATATTATCCTTTTGCTTTTATAACAAAATAAAAGCAATGGTTATTTAACAAAATCAAAAATACAATTAAAATTGTATCAATCCATAATGACTTTATTTAATCAAATCTAATATGTTTAGGATCATTCTTTGTTTCAGTCTTATTTTCATTAAAAGATCGTTTAAATCCTCCTTTTCTATTATCTTTTCTTGGTTCTGGACATTCTCTACTCATATGGCCTGGCTTACCACAATTGAAACAAACGTTATCTCCTCCTTGTTTACCTTTGAATGTGTGTTGTTTTCCTCTTTTATTACTTGATCCAAATGCACCAAATTTTCCTCCATCATTATCTTTATCGCCTCCCTTCTTTCCATCAGCTAAGTCCAAAAAGAGAGGTCTACCGTCAACCTCTTCACCTTGATGTTCTTGAACGAATTTCTTAGCAGCTTCTAAATCAACAAAATCAAGATAACCAAATCCTCTTGACTTGCCTGTTTCTTTATTAGTAATAACACGAGTTTTAACTGGTCCACTAGAGGCAAAATATTGGTACATATCATTAGTTGCCCATCCATATGGGATATTCTTTACAAAGACACTAACTAATTTAACGTCTTCTACTGGAATAAATTCTTTTGTTTCATTATCTTTCTTTTCTTCTTCTTCATTATTTTCTTCTTTTTCTTCTTCTTTTTCTTCTTCATTATTTTCTTCTTTTTCTTCTTCCATTTTAGATTCATCTTTCTTTTCTTCTTCACTCTGCTCTTCTTCCATTTTAGATTCATCTTTCTTTTCTTCCTCTTTCTTTTCTTCTTCTTCATGTTCCTCTTCTTTTTTTGAGTGATGATGGTGCTTATGTTCTTTCTTTTCTTTTTTGTCTTTTTTGTCTTTCTTATGTTTCTTTTCTTTTTTCTCCTTTTTATCTTTCTTCTCCTTCTTTTCTTTTTTGTCTTTCTTTTCCTTCTTTTCTTTCTTTTCAACCTCTTCAACTTCTTCTTTAACTTCTTCACTTTCAATATTCTTTTCTTCAGAGCTAGACATCTTGGTTTTTACTTGAATAGATGAAGATTTTCTTTTTGAATATATAGGGTTGAACAGTGCAGGGTTGTTTAAAAGAGATTTTATTCATTTTTCAATCTAACATGAAGCATCTATAAGAATGATTATTAGGGTTAATTACCTTTAATAAAAGAAAAATAAAAACATAGAATTACTTTAAAAAAAGAAAAGAAAAATGAATGCTGAGTAATGAAGAAACAAGATACAAGTTAAAATGTAAGTTGAGATGAGGCGGATGAAATTGGAGGGGAATTAATGATTTTATTTTCTACATTTTCGTCATATTTTTTTGGTAAACCAGGTGTGTATTGAAGAATTAATTGAACACAAATCTCTAGTTGGGTAAGAAAATAGTCATTTTCAGAAGTTAAATCAAAACAGCATTTTCTTATAAAAGAGATATTAGAATATAACATAGGTGGTTGACATTGAACAATAAGATATGTTAATATTTCCAATATTTCATCACAACTCATTTGCAAAGTAATGTTATTATGATAAATAATATTTCTAAAACATTTGTTAATAGAATTTATTTTTTCAGTTGGAGTTTTGAAATTATTAATTTCTATTAATAAATCTTTTGATCTATTCCAATTTTGATCATTTATAATTTTTTGAGAAACTTGATATTTAGATATTGGTATTTTTTGCATAAGAATTATTTGTTTGATTAGACGTGCATCTATTTCTATTTCTTCTTTTGTAGCAAATATATTTTCATATAACTCTTCCATAATAATATATTCTACACATAGTTTTTGTTCTTCAAATGTAAAGGGAGATTCATTTAATGACAAATTATATAAAATCGTTTGGTATAATGACATTACAACTTTCTCTACTTCTTCTCTTTCAATACACTGCTCTGTATTAAACCATGTCTTAAATTGTTTGATAGACTTTATATCATCTTGGTGCTGCTCAAGATATTTCTTAAATTTTTGTATAAGTAATCCTGAACCCATCTCAAATAATAATTTTTTTAAAGTTTTTTTTTAATTCTTTTTAGATTTTTTATTTATTCTGTTTATTCATTTTATTTTATAGAATAATTTTATCTTGTAAATTATATATTTAGAAATACCTCTTTAACAAATTCATATAAAAATAGACTCAACCCATTAATATCTTTTTATGTTATATCTTACCTTTATAAGTTATTTTTTGTTTGAGTTATATAAAAATACAATAAGAAATACAGTATGAAAAGTTTAAATATTATACTAATAAATTTTAAATAAAAGAATATCTTTCTTTGTTAATATAATTATAAATATATTAGAATTATCAATTATTTTTAAATATAATATTTTTTGGTTATTCATATTAGTTAGTACTATTATGAACCTTAAATCATACTTTGTATTGAATTATCTTCTTTTTAAATCATTTTTTTTAATATTCTTTATCTTTTTCTCATAAAACAATTTATTTTCGATTAATGTACTGATTTCTATTTATTGTTAGATATTCTTTAGACTCTAACTTTAATTCATAGTTAATACTCCTAACTTTTATCTTAAGAACAAACCTCTCATCATTTTCTTCTTTTTGTTATATTTAATCTACAAAAAGTTTTTTATATTTAAATATGTTAATTAAATATTAATTGGTTAATACCACCAAAGTTGATTTTTTCTTTTATTTAACTTAACATAGTATAGTTTTAATAAAATAGTATAATAAGTTAATGAGCTAGTATTCTAGAACAATAACTTTTATTATTTTATGATAAACAAGAAGATATCAAGTTTTATAAAAAAGCAAAATAATGTTCATATTCTATAAATAGAGAATTTATTAGATTAGAAAAATAAATTTAAAGTAAGTTAATTAACTCTTGAATAGACTTAAAGATTATGTATTTTTAAGAAATTAGCTTTAAATGATAATGATTAAAGAATAATAAAAGCTTATTTAAAATAATGAAGAAAAATAAGTTTTAATAAGTATATAAAAAGAAAAGAAAAATGAAAGATTTAAATAATTAAGAAATAACAAAAGAATCATTTAGATACTAAAAATGAATTAAAATGATTTATAAAACTTGAAAGATAAGTTTAAGTAGTATATATATTTATCCACTTGATTTATTTTTAAATGTATGAATAATAAATAATAAGAATAACAAGAAGCTTTGGTGCTGAAAAAATAATTATACCAAAAAGAGTCTTATATCTTTTATTTACTTGTTGTTTATTAAGATGTATTTTTAAACCTTCATTATAAAATTATTTCAAATTAATACAAACCAAATTCTTTGAATTGTTTTACTAATACAGTCTATTTAAATCATTTCCAATATACTACTAAGAGAGAATCTAACTTTATTGGGCTTAATAAATTCTTTGATGTAAATGGATTTATAGTACTCGGAGAAACATCATAAATTTGTTTAAATCCTTGATGGATATATGCAATTCCATCTGAAAGAACCCAGAAAGCAGAAAAACAAGTAAATACAAAACGTTTATCAGAATTTGGATGGATGTCTATTGTTCTTATACAATTTCCTTTTCTATAAATTGGATTATTTGTATAATTATTATATCCAAATAAGAAGAAGTCATCTGTACTTTCTGCTTTTACAGTATATTCATTTGAAAAAGGAAGTGGTTCTTTTTGGAAACATCCAAAGATATCAGAGTCTTCTGTCATGACAATAATCATAATATTACCTTTACCACAAATAGCGTTATTAAATGTTTCTGCACAAAGTTTATCTGTTTTTGAATTATATAATATTTGTGGAATTTTTAGTGTTGTTACTTTCTTAAATTTGTCTATATCACCACCACCATCATTAATCAGTAATGATAAATTAAAAAGACCTTCACTTTGAAAATCATTTTTCATTTTTATTTCTGGATTATTACTCTCACTCATTGATCTTTTCTTTTTGTTGTGATTTACTGCTATTAACTGTGAATCACTTACTTCACTAATTAATGGTCTGCATTTAGTTTCATCTTCTTTAGTATATTTAATGATTATTTTAGGAATTGTCTTTGTTTCTTGAGCTTTTTCTTTCTTTTTTTCAATTTCTTTTTCACTGACATTTGGTATCTTAGAAGTAAACTTAGACTCTTCTTTTTTTGCTTGTTTTATAATATGGTCTTCAGGCATTGAAGTTGATTTCCTATGAGAACCTTTCTTTTTTGCTTCTTTGACATTTGGGTCTGTTTTAGGAATAATAGCATCTTGAGTATTCTTACATTGTTGATTTCCCATTAAGAATTAATCAATTAGGTTATTCTTAGTTTTTTTATCATTTTTTATGAAACATGTTTACAATCCCATTTTTTTTTTAATTTTTACTATTTTGTTTTTCTTTTTATTTATCATTAAACATTTTTATTCTCCGATTTTTGTTCTTATTTATGAAACCACGTCACTCAATTACTCAAAAAAAAGTATAAATTTGGTGAATAAGGGAATGAGTTCCGCATTTACCTATTTCTACCTATCAACATTGTTATGAGAAGTACAGAACGTTCTTTGTCTATTCTTCAGTAAATAATTCTTAAAAATAGATTTTTTTTTATTTTTCAGAAAGAGTAAGAAAAGATCTTACAGCAAGCATATCACTCATTTCATTACAAATGAGAGGGATTTATATTTTATTTTTTATTCAGTCATTAGCTTTTAGTATACACGAACAACATATTGAATTTCCTTTAACTGGAGATTGGTCAATGTCTTCTCCTTTTCCTTTTCTTACACAAACTACTGGTAAAATACAAGCATTTCCTCCAAGAGTTTTAAACATTACAGAAGGGGGTAGTATTATCGAGTGTCATATTCAAATTACTGATGGTAAGTATGGTCAAGATGACATTTTAGAATTTACTTCATTTTTATTTATAAAGAAAAATCAAACTTCTTCTCATGGGTATTTAGTTTCAAAAGTTATTACTCCTACCCCTGTAAGAATTATACGAAGATCTATTGTAACACATAACATTACAAAGTTTATTGACTCTTTACCTTCTCTTAATGTTATTCTTCCTTTAGAAGACATAAAACGTAATTCAGAAAATATCACTATCAATGGTACATTAAATTGGAATGATAAAATTATGCATTTCACATTATGTCCTCTTAATAAAAAAGAATTAGAGGATAGTGCCTTACCATATCTTGGGCTTGTTCTTATTCTTGCAATTATTCAAGCCTTTGCATTTGTTAAACAAATGGATTATGCTAAAACTGAAAGTTCATTAAAACGATCATCATACAACACTATAGTATTTATGGCAACAAGTGATGCGTTTGTGTGTCATGTTCATGTATACCTTGCTTCATTATTTACGCCATCTTCATTAGCTTTTAGGTTTTCTATTTTATTATCATTCTTATATTTTATGATATTTTCTGTATATGATGTCAAATATATATTTACAATATGGAAATCACAATATGGAACAGTCTCACAACGTTCTGCAATGTTATTATATTTAAGGTTATATGCTACATTATTTATTTTATTTATATTATCAGTTTTTTCATTACATTATTTTCTCATAGTTTGTTTTTCCTTATGGATACCTCAAATTTATCAGAATATTATTACAAATAATTCTCAAGTTATTTCATTACATTATATTATTATTACTACATTTCCACGATGTGTTTTAGTACTTTATTGGTTTGCCTTTCCTTATAACTTTATGAATTATAGAGTTGATGGAATATTAGTTATAACTCTTTTTTCACTTGTTTTCCTACAAGTCCTTGTGATTGTTATTCAAAAACGATTTGGTGCTCGTTGTTTTATACCAAAATTTATTCAAAAATTATGTATAAATGAAGAGTATAATTACCATCATGGATGGAGTGATATTGCTAAAATAAGAGGTGCTTTAGAGTGTGTTATTTGTATGGCACCAATAGAAAACACTCATATGGAGACAGGATGTCCTGAAATAGTTGTAACACCTTGTGGACATGTTTTTCATACTGATTGTTTAGCATCATGGATAGATTATAAGATGGATTGTCCAACATGTAGAACGTCATTAGAGGGAGTTTTCTAATCTAAAAACCCAATTTAAAAATATTCAACAACTTTTATTCAACATAATTAATTACTGTTTCTTTAATTTATTCTTTATTTTCATTTATTATATCAAAAAAACTCTTATATATTGGTGAAAAACAAATAAATTTTCTTATTCAACACTACCACTTTTGGATCCGGAATCACCATTTCCACTTCCATGACGTTCAATATCAACCATTTCAGGCATAGTGTCTTGAGGTGTTTTGTCTCCTTTATATTGGATCCAATCAAATTGTCCATCAAATTCAATTCCTTCTCTTTTAGCAATTCTCCAAAATAGCATTCTTAACTGAAGATAATCAGGTGTTTGATCAAATCCTAGTTTCTTACAAATATCTAAATAAGTAGCAAATTCTTCTGGTAATCCTTCACATAATTCACTTAATGGAGTACTTTCCTTTTTAGCCAGAATTTGAGTATTTTTATCAACTTTCTTTCCTTTAATCCCTTGCCAAGGTAAAGATCCTTTCATAAAATAAACAAACATATATCCAAGTGCTTCTAAGTCATCTCTTCTTGATTGTTCTCTTCCTCTATGATTATTTATTGATGCATACCTTACAGTTCCAACAAAGGCCTTGTCTTCAGCATATTTAATATGTTTCATAGTTTTATTATCTCGATATTTCTTTGATAATCCAAAATCAATTACATAAACTGTATTACTCATATTACGCATTCCCATAACAAAATTATCAGGTTTAATATCTCTATGTATAAAAAATCGATCATGAACTTCTTGAATACGTTTAATACATTGGTCAGCTAACATAATTGTTGTTTTTAATGAAAACTTTCTTCCACAATATGTAAAAAGATCTTCTAATGATGGTCCAAGTAATTCCATAACCATCAAGTTCCAATCATCTTGCATTCCCCACCATTTTACTGCAGGAATACCTGTTGCCTTTGTTCCACTTTCTCCTGTTTCCATAAGTATTTTATACAAATTATATTCATATCTTAATTGTGGACATCGTGCTTTAGTTGATTCCATTTTAATAGCAACTTCTTCTTCTTCATTAAATGTATTTACTCCCATGTAAATATCACCAAACGAACCACTTCCTAATTTTTTAACTAACCGGTATTTATTAGCGATCTTCATATCCATCATGGCTATTATACACTCTGATCGATTTCAAGTTCTGTTTACTTTTTTCCATTTTTCTTTTTTTTTTTTGAATTGAAACGCTCTTTATTTTTGTTTCGTTCTTCTTTTTTTGTTTTTGACAAAAGTAATAGAAACTTATTTGAAGGAATCAATTAGGATATCAAAGAACCAGAGCTGTTTGGTTCTGGATTATATGATGTGATTACACCAAAAACCAAAACTATTACTGAAACAATAAATAGAATCACTGACAAAAAGAAGACTATTAATACTACAAAAGGAGTAGAATAGAAACCTAGTGATAAATTAAAATATATTCATACAATGATAAAAGATAAACAAACTAGAAAATGGAGTATTTGGATGATATGAGAATAAAGAACATTTTTGAAATAGCCTGATTGATAATAAATGGAAAATGCATGGAGCAATAAATACTAAAATAAAAGAAATTAAACCAGTTAAATCAAAGATTGTTTCTAATGAAGAAGAAATTGATCCTAAAACGAAAGGAATAATAATAGATATGAAAAGTGCAGTATATCGAATTAAGTATTTCTTTTTACTTGCCATTACTTCTTCTGAAAACATTGAACAAATATTACCTGTAACTGTTTGTGCTACAATAGGAAATGAACTTGTAAGATTTACTAATGGAAAGAAAACTATTAAATATCGAATAATATATGCATACCATTGAGTTTTTCCTTCTGTCCAACCAGAGTGTATTCCTGTATAACTTCCCCAATTTAAGGTTACTGGTGTTTGAACAGTTTCTCCAAATGTAACAGAACAAACTGCACCAATTAATCCATAAAATAATGAAGCAATAAATAATGAAGTGATGATTGGAATATGAGTTTTATTTTTTTTTTTCTGCAGGGGCAATGATATCAGGAATACTGATATGGCAAACTAAAGCAAAAGCAGTATGAGAAAATACTGTTCCAAATCCTGAAAAATCAAAAACTTTAATTTCACTAATTGGACCCTCAAATCCAAGTTGAACAAAACATGTAATTAACATCAAAGCAAAAACAATGACACAGTACAACATCATTAAAAATTGAACAAAGGTTTGAGATGATAGTTTTAAAAAGGATAATGGAACAACAAGTAAAGCATAAAACAAAATTGATCCATAATATGTTGCTTGACACTCCCATCCTAGTGAAAAGTGTCCTTTAACTGGGCAATGTTCAGGTTCATTTTGAAATGACCACCAAATAGTTCCTATTGAACTTACACTTGTCCCAACAAAAGACCACAAAATTCCATAGCAATTGATAATCATTAAGACATTAATTACAGTTTTAAACCATTTTCCAGCTGTATGAGAAGCAAGAGAAGTATATCCATATGCTTCATACATATCTACTTTACTATGTTTATATCCATTTAACAAATCATTTCTTTTAATATATGTTCCTACTCTTGAAATTGCCTCTAAAACATATAATGCAGTACATGAAGTTAATAAATAAAAAATAAATAATAACACAAGAGAAAGAGCAAGGCCAGCTTCAAAATATGCAAGAGGCATACCAAAAACACCAGTACCAATCATAATATTCATTGTTAATGAAAAGACACTTAATAAAGATATTCCTTTAAGGTGAGTAAATGGCAAAACATCTAATAAGGAAGGTTCTTGACTAGCTTCAAAACTATCTGAACCAATATTTTCATAATCATCGACAAATTGAATATTTGTAAGAATAGCACCACCTTGAGCCATTATCTTAGAATATCTAAAATTATATTTTTTCTAAAGATGATAAAAATTCTTTTTGAAAGAAATTTTGGAATGTTTGAAAGAAAGTTTCTTTTCTATCTTTTTTTTAATACTATCTTTATGTCTAAAAATAAAGATTTTTGAAAAAAGAACAACTTTTAAACTGTTAAAAATTTGTTTGTTTTATTGGTTTGTGTTTTTCAAATTGAATTATTATTTTTTTTTAATTATTATAAATTTAAAAATAAGACTATTCTATTTTTATATCTATCATTTATAATTGACTTGTTATATATTTAATATTAAGACGCAATTATACTAACAAGTACAAAGGTTCTATCATTGTTCTAATTTATTAATAAGAAAACACCAACCATAGGTAGTGCTTAAATTATTTTGATTTTCAAAACTCATTTTTACTTAAGCATCTATGGTTATTTATTTTTTTAAAGAGTTAGTAATTTTTGAGATTATTAAATTTACAAATCTATATTATTATTTTTAAAATGTTAAAAATGACTGATTCATTATTTAAATTATTGAATAGCTGTTTACTTTTTCTATAAACATAAATAATATCTACTAATACAAAAATTGGTCACCAATTTATGAAATAGTATTGTATTTAAGAGGCATTAATAAAGATTTATCTATTATTTTATATTTAAATTGTTCTTTTATAAGGATATTTTGAATCTAAGAATGTAATTAGATATTAATAGTGAAATGAGTTTTTTATAAGTGAAAATTATTTAATTATTTTTTAAATAGTACTAAGACTAAAGCACATCTAAAACTAAAACATTTTATTTTGAATGATATTACATTATAATTGAAAGGTGATTATGAACTTTACTTAATAATAAATATAAAATATAAATTTACATAATTTAGATTTGTAAAAAGATATTAAATAAGATAATTAAGAAGTTTGTGTTATTGAATTTTTATTCTTTTATAAAAAACGTATAAAAAAGTTTTATTTAATTTTATTTATCTGAATTATCTAAACTTGAATTTATCCATTCTAATGCATAAGCTACTCCATCTTCTTGAACAGTTTTAGTTATAAAATTGGATTTCTCCTTTACTGAGTCAAATGCATTTCCCATAGCAACACCATATCCATTATGAGATACTGCCCACTCTATTCCAGTAATGTCGTTCTCTGAATCTCCCATATAAACAACTAACCCTTGATAATGGAGTTGTTCAAGAATAGTACCTTTACTAATATGTGGATTATATAATTCAATAATTTTTTCTCCTGAACGTTTAGCTTCTATGTCATAACTATTATATTTCTTTAATAATTCCATTAAATAAATAGTTTCTTCTACTGTTGGTGGATGGATATGAATACTCAAAATATCAGAACCTTTCATTTTTTTAATCTCTTCAATTGAAATAGGTTGAATAAACCTATCACATCGCTGAAACTTACTATAATCAGTTGAGGGAATTTTAACACTTTGGTCTTCTTCTTTTATAACTTTTAAATAATCTCCAATTCGTGCATTACCATCAGTTCCTCCATTTTCTATATCTTTTTTATTGCATAGTACTAAATATCCACATATTCCCTCTTTCACAAGAACTTCAACTATTGGCATACATGCCTGTATATTTAATGGATGATATGCTAAGACTTTTCTTTCAGGAAGTCTAATAGTTAAATTACCATTGCTTGTTAATACAGTTATTGGAGAACATCCAATACTTTCTACAATAGGCATTACTGTTTTTAAAGGCCTTCCTGATGCAATAAGAATTTCACCTCCAGCTTGAATTTCACGTTGAAGAGCTTGTTTGACCTTCTCTGTTGGAGTCATCATAGCAGGTAAGGTTAATGTTCCATCAACATCTAATACAATTGTTTTAGGTTTAATAGCGTTCATCGTTTATCCTTTTTTAGTTTTACTGAATACAGATTTAAAATAAGGTTTAAGTATTAATCAATTGACTAACAAAATAACAAAAAGAAGTAAAACTATTTATATATTCAAATTAACCTCATCAACTACTGTACTTTAAACAATACATAATAACGTCAGTCATAAATTATAATAATCTGAAGACGAATTAAAAACCTTTAAACAAAGTAAATTTATATTCGTATCTATCTAATAAGTTTTGTATCTTTAATGATTTAAGAATTAAATGTTTCCTTCTTAAAAATGTTTAGAATTTTTTTTTTTGAAGACATATTAAAGGTCACTTCAAAAAGTGTCATTATTATTATTACACAAATAATGGGTAAAACATATCTAATAAGTCAGTATTATTATTATTCATTTATTACTAATATTGTTAAGAAAAAAATATAAATGTTATTTGAAAATATGTTTATAAAAATGAAGATAGATAATGTGCTTATAAGTAAAAAAGTGATTTTATAGTATTTTTAATAAATGTTAATTGTTAATAACTTTGAAATGTCTTTGGTTAAACAAACGAAGTTAGAAGGTAAACTCAAATCATTGAGATATTTCTATTTAATAAATCCAAATTTATTTACTTAAAGGAATACATAAAAAATCACTATTTTATTTATTCAAAGAAACCCTTAGTTACTTTATTGATATATGTTTTATTTAAATTTTCTTCATGGGCATAAATTACTCTGCATCCATTTTCAATTACTTTTATTTTTAATTCAGTAATTTCACTTAATTCTACACCATCATAAAACCCACGAGTTTTCCTTCTATTTGGTTGAATATTCTTAATAATAACTTCTGTATCTAATGGTAAGTATAATGGTCTTATTCCAAGAGGATAACTTGCATTATTTGGAACAAATCCAATCATATTAGCATTTGGTGGAATTGGCATTACTCCAATAGACTTAGAATATCCAGTACTTCCTGCTGGTGTACATACAACAATTCCATCACAACACAACTTAGGTATTCGTACAACCCCATTAATAATAACTTCAAACCAACAACACTGACCATTTAAACGTTCAATCCATGCGTCATTGAATGCGAACTGAGTGGATAACTGAGTACTTCCATTTGAGGCATCGACTTTAAGACAAGGATACGAATAACATTTAAGTGGTTTATTTTTTTCAATTGAATCCATTACTTCTTGTATAGGATTAATTAAATAACCAAGATTTCCACAATTGATACCAAGGTATGGTAATTGTAAATGATAATTCTCATGAAATGCTTTCAAAAATGTACCATCACCTCCAAAAGTCATTACAACATTTGGATTTACTTCATCATGAATTCGTTCAAATTGTCTAGCGACATCAGGTGCTTTTTGGTTGTAATCATCAATATGAAACTTAGCACGAATATGATCAACCTGAAGAGTAGTCATCTACTGAGACCAAGAACTAAATATCTCATCATCAAATTCTAATTAAAAAATTCCACAAAATAAATCAACCCTAATTTTTTAAATTTTAATTTGTCTCACAGTTATTTAATTTATGTTTTTTTTTCATCTTTATTTATGTTATGTTAGTTTCAATATAATATGCTTTTAAAGTTTTGACAATGCCTTACGATTGACCATAACTCTAAGGCTTTGATAAGAAGCGGGTGTAGTGAAGAGTTTATATTTAAAAAGAGAAACAAATAGTTTTTACCATATTTTGTTGTTATTGACTATTCTTACATAGTCCAGAAATACTCAGGCGGTTTAAAACTATTAAGTATCATTTACGAATATACGACAAAAAGAAACAATATTAGATATTGCCAAAATAAACTAAATTTAGTATTTAGATATTAAAAACTTACTAAATTATTTAATGTATTTAAACACTTAATACTAAATGTTCATATCATTATGTAAATTAATAATATTATCAATAGTATTGATTAAATAGAATTTTATCTTTGTTTTATGGTAAATAATAACTTAGTTGTTGTGATATTACAAAATTATTGAATTAGGCAATTACTCATTTACAAGAAGTAAATACAATAGTTTTTAATTTATTTTTTAAAAGAAGTTAAGAGAGAAGAGATGTTGTACAAAATTATAATCTTTATTAATACTAGAGTTTGTAATGTTAAAAATCTATTTTATAAATAATTTAGTAAAAGTGTTACATAAAGTGTTATGTTGTACTTTGATTTTCAACAGTACCAGATGAAAAAAAAATTCTAATAGCTATAACTTTCTTATTATTATGACCGGGGTCTTTATAAAAAGTTATGAATGATAGATAATTGGTTATTCTTTCAAATAATCTTCTTGTAATATTGTATTATCTAAACGAATAAAATTATTAAATATTAGGAATAAAACATTGTCTTTGAGTAGCTTGAGATTCTCTTCGCTTGTAAAAATTTAAGGCATAACAATAAGTTAGTTATTTTTCGTTTTTGTGATGATAATATTACTAATGTACTCTTACTCTGTTAAAAAATTATATTTAATGGATTTTGTTATATAAATAATCAATCAGATAGTAATATTTGTTGTTTTTCAATTTTAGATAAATTTCGTTTTTAAAAACAAATTTAATTATAAAAAACAAAAAAAAAAGAAAAAGGAAACAAAAAAGATTAAAACAGATTAAGTTATGTATGAGACATACTATTATGATACACAACTTTTCATTGCTTTTATTACTTATTTTGTTTTGTTTCTTTGTATTGTAATGGTGTGTATCGTTGGAAGTATTTTTACATCAAGACAAAAAATATTTCCTTGTAAATGTAAGAAATGTCAAAAATTGAATGAGATGAGATGGAAGAAACCATTGACTATTAAGAGATTTATTGCTGTTTGTTGTTATTCATACAAAAGATAACCAAATAGTTAACAAATTAGGTTTTAATAATGATAGTTTTAATATTTTTATTTTATACATTAAACAAACAACGGAAAAAATGTTGTACTGAAGTTATTGAACCATATAATCCATTTAAAGTTTTAAACATTTCTAATTCATCAAATAGACTTAATATTGAACACCGATTTCATGATATTCAATTAAGGTATTTAATAAAAAAAGTAACTCTTGAAGAAGAAAATGTATATCTTCGACAAAAGTATGCATATGAATTATTAAGGAATGAAAACAGATTCTTAGAATGGAAAAGTCAATGGGATCAATTAACAAATTCTACTCATTTAATTGCTCTACCTTCTATCTTTCAACCAAATACTAATTCTATGTACACAATTTTTATGGTTTATAACACAACAATTTTTTTGATAATACCAATCGTATTATTAATTTGTTCTAGAAAGTTTGTTATAATACTTTTATTAGTTTTACTCAACGTTTCATTTACTTTAGTTCATCTTCTCATAGAATAACAATTAATAAGAATAATGAAGTACATTCTCAATACAAATTAGTTTATGAAAAAGTATTTGATAATTTTGTGTCATTCTCATTAATTATTGAAGCAATGAGTTCAACTGCATTAGTACAAAGACATATTACATATAATTCATATGATTCAAAACTCTTACCACAAATTAGAAGTAAAGTAAATCAAGACCTTTTAAATACACCTCATATTCAAACAAAAGAAGTTGTTAAAGCACAGACATTAATTTGTGCATACCTCACCAGAATTAAATTGCCAAAGTATCTCAAATATACTCTTTATTCAATGATACCTGATTTAAGAAAAATAATTATTGATTTAATTAATTACTTCTTCTTCAAGGGGAGTCTTGACGCAATGGTATTGACTACAAAAATGGGACAAATGATTGCACAAGCGTGTACAGTTGAAACTGAATATCTTCAATTACCTGAATTTCAATCAAGTCAAGTAATGTATATGCAAAAAATTACAACATCTCAATTAGGATCAATCAATGCATTAGAACGCTTACAGAAACTTCATGAGATATGTTATAATGAACACCAACTAGAATTATGGAAAAATTATTTAATATACTTTCCTTCAAATATGGAAATTGATATAGGACTAAATAAAGAAATTACTTACACTTCTCATTCAATTGAATTAGAAATAAAAATAAGAAGAAAACCTGTGATGTACACTTTACAAAAATCATTTGGTCCAGAAACAAATCAAACAAATCAAAGTACTGAATTAAAAGAAAAAGATAAGACAATTCGTAGTCATACACCATTTTTAAGAAAAGCAATTAAAGAAAGATTTTATTTATTTGTTGAAATAGAAAATCAAAATTTAGTGTGTTATAAGGAAAAATTAAAAATACCTTTTTCACCAAATATATTTACTATCAACGTTCATGTTCCAATTCCTCTAAATATAAATTCAATTAATTTCTGCATTTATTTAATTTCAGATTGTTATTTGGGATGTGAATATTGTATGAAGAAAAATGTTAAATTATTGTATTCTTAAATTATTATTATTTAAACATTTAGTTTTATTTTAATCATATTTAAAACCCCTTTTTTCTTGTTATTTATTATTTTATTGTATAAAAATGATAACATCAAAAATCTGTTATTATTTTTTTAATTTAATCATAAAGTAAGTATTAAATGTCCTCAACAACTTTAAGGTGTATTTAATATCTTCATAATGTTATGATAAAGATGAATAACAATAACAATAAATGTAAATAACATAAAGTGGATACTTATAGAATAAATAAAAGGAACAAAAAAACTAAATTATAACAACAAATAGTTAGACGAATTAATATTATTATAATTGTTCATTTCTTTCTATAAACTACGTTAAATTAAATGTAAAAAAAAATGTAAATCAAAAAATATTTTTACTGTTTAATTTATAACAAATATAAATTGATTAAAAAGAGATTATTCAATGACAATAAATTTAAGTTGATACAAGAAATCAAACATCTAATAATAAAAAAAATTAAATAATGACGTCATTTTATGGTAATATAATATAATTAAATATAAAGAATAAAAATAATAGAAGATAGCGACACAATTTGTCTTCTTGTCTCAATAAATAATAGAATAAATTATATTATACTTAATAAATAATTATTTTTTGTATAATAAGTTCCTTTTTGAAAAAGAACTGAAAATGAGATAGATTTTTCGTTTATTAATATGACTTACAAATTAGAACGTGTTTATTTAATGAATGTATCACTTTATTTTACAACTTATTTTGATGTTTTATCTTTTATTCAAATCAATAAAAAATGTTTTTCAACTATCAATGACCTTAAAGTTAATCCATGGTTAACGACTCCATTTAGTATTATTAAATTTGTTTATCATTTCAATCCAGAAACAGTTAATTGTTGTTCTTTTCAATTAAATAAACCTAGAATCTTCGATACTTGCACATTCATACGAAATCCGAATTTTCTTTTAATTTCGGAAAACCAACAAAAAAAGTTAATACCATTATTTAATAAAATTACTACGTTAACATTTTATAAAACAAAAGAAGAACAATCAATGTGTTATATTAAAAATGCTTCAAAGTTTACTTCTCTTAAGAGTATATTTGGAGATATTGAATTAATTGTACAATTTATTGAAAATTCATTTAAAGATCAATCAACTAATTTACGTTGTTTAAATAAAATTCAAATAGAGCCACAATCGAACCAATATATTTTTCCTTATAAAACTCTTCCATTACTTAGAAAGTTAAGGAATATTATTGGTATCAATAATAGAATAAAAGTCATATTAATCTCTTTTTATAGTGCTTTTAATCGTCAAGAAGTTAAAGAGTTTGAAAAGATTAATGTTCAATTGTTTTATAAAATGCTCACCCAACACCAACTAGATCAAATCCAATTAAATTACACTGCCCCTAGAAAAGTTCTAGCAATAGAAGGAACTTATAATTGTGACAAATTTAATAAAATTATTGATAAAAGACAACCTACTGTATGTGTTGTATTAATGGAAAATAATCCTCTCCTTAAAGAAGAAATAGAGCGTAGTAGAGGTTCATTATTAATACCAGAAGACACTACAACTTCTTGTTGGACAATTCCTAAATGTATTAAAGAATTACAATTATTAAAAGTTAATCCTGTTGTTGTCCAAAATACAATGAACATTGTTCCACTATATCCAGCAGATTGTTTTTATTTAAAAGTAATAAAATTAGAACAATGTAGAAATATTTTTCTTCAACAAAAATTACCAAATCTCAAAACGTTAATAATTAGTGAATGTGATAATGTTACAGTCCAAACCATTGATGAGACATATCATTTTGGTTTAACTAATATAAAAAAGTTAATGATATTAAGAAGTAATGATATTCATGTCCAATGTAATTCAAATAAGTTTAAAGAACTTATTGTAGAGGGAGGTGAGAGGATATATATTTATGGGACTATAGATTCTGTTAGAGATTTTACTTTCTTAAGGGTTATTAAAATAGTTCTTCCATCTTGTAGTTTTTATAATAAATATGTAAATATTCAATATTGTTCTTCAATAAAATTTGTAAGTGGAATGAATATAAGAAGTCCTATAGAATTTCTTGGGATTAACGTAGTTTTATTTAATAAATTAATTCAAAAAATATTAATATTACCTTTATCTCTTCCAAAAGAACTATTCAATGAAGACACATTCTCAAATTTCTTTTGTTTGTTTTGTTTTATTAAAAATAAGAACGTTTATTGATATATAGATATGGCTCCATTTTTTTTAAATAGTGAACGAATAAAAAAACATGGAAATACATTATCTATGAAAAAAAGAACTTTTAGTGAGATCGACTGTATTGATGTCTTAATTTCAACTCAATTTTTGTTAGCAGGAAAATCAGATAAATTAGTCACTATATTAAATGAAAATGAGTTTTCTATTTTTGATGCTTCTATTAGATACTTTGAAGTGACTATAACAGGAAGTGCAGTGATATCAGTTGGACTTATAGATGTAATTAGAATACATAATGAAGAATATACTTCATCAAATGTTTGTTTTGATTATTTAAAATTAAGAATATTATTAACAATTAAAGAGATTAGTTGGACTAGATGTTGGTAGTATTGGGTATTATTCTGAAAATGGGTTTTTGTTTAATGAGTCTAAAATAACGAAATACAGTGAACCATATGCTATATGTTCATCAAGTAATGATACTATTGGTTGTGGATATAATACTAAAACAAAAGAAGTATTCTTTACAAAAAATAGAATTAAACTACCATCTATTCCATTTAAATGTCACTCTTTATCAGCTGTTATTTCTATAGATTTTATGAATAAAATGACAATTAATTATGGAAATACTCCATTTAAATTTAATATAAAGAAGGAATTAGAAAATAATGGATTAATCAATCAATTTAAAACTAATTGTCAAATTGTATAAAAAATGACTTGGACTCTTATTTATTGTTGATTTATAGTTCTTTTGTTTATTGTCCATCCTTTGGTTCCTTTACAAAATGAGCTAAAAATTCTTTTAATGTGATAAAACCGTCAAGATCTTGATCTACTTGATCCATAAATCCTTCAATATCATCTGATTCTATTTGAAGTCCCATTTTCTTTAATAAACGTTCTAATTCTGGAGCACCAATTTTGCCTTGGTCTTTAATGTCCAACAACCTAAATACTGCAGTAAAAACAGATTTGATATCTTTACCAAATCCTCTGTTTAAGATAGCAATTAAACGGGCAAACTGCCTAATATCTATTTCTCCATCATCATTTAAATCAGCTAAATGGAATAAAAGAGTTTGACTTGGTTTATCATCATCAGTAATATCTTTTCTCCACATTTTAACACCACTAAAATATTCATCAGCATTAACAGAACCATCATTATCGAGGTCAATTTCGGCAAAAAATTCTTCTATTGTTTTACCTTGTGGTTTGTCTTCTGGCATTTTGTTAAATGAAAGTAAAAAAAGTAAATTTACAAAAGTAAAAACCCTGAGAATTTCACCTGAAATTTCAATTTTTTAATGAAAAAGTGAAAAATAAAATTTAAAAAAAAAAACTAATATAATGAAATTTAGATATACAAACATGTCACATATCGATGAAGAACTCATGAGAATATTCGATTATAAAGTTAATGAACTTGAAGAAAGTAAAATAAAAGACATATTCTTATTGATGAAAAGAATGCTTATCAATTTAGATATGGATCAAATTGAATTCAAAAAAGAGTTACATAAAGAATTTAATGTACCGTTAAATCGTGTTGTTGATTTGGATGAGTGTGATGATAAAAAAGAACAACAAACTGATGTTGATTATTCAAAAGACAATGACACAAGTTTAGATCATTTTGTAGACCAACTTGGTTACCAACAAAATGAAAATCAAATAAATGATAATAAACAATGCCAAGAAGCTTTAGAAGAAGTTCAGAAAGAAGAAAAAAAAGTATTTGAGAAATTACTTGTTTTTCAACAAGAAATGCTAAAGAAAGATAGAACTAAAGAAGGTTTTGATATTAATGGAATGATAGAAAATGAAATGAGTCAATTCGATAGTTTTGTAGAACCACCTAATGAAGATGATTTAATAGGAAACAATTTATTAGATGCTTTCCTTCAACAGTTTGATGCTGTTCAAATAACTAAAGATAATAGTAAAATTAAACAAAAACCATTTATTCCACAATTGTCTTCAAGTGATGATTCATCAGATTTTATTGAAACAAATTCTAATGAAGAGTCATTAACAAAAGATATTCCCATTGAAATACCAAAATTTACAATGACAGAAAGAAGAGGTACATCTGAATTAGTTAAAAATACTTTTCAGTGTCAACAAATAAATAACCCATCTTTAAAAAGTATTCGTATTAGTTTAATGGAAATAAAACGTTACAATGAAAATAGTTGGGCACCTATCCTATACACTATAGATGATACTTTTGAGTAAAATAAAAGGTAATAATAATTATGTAAATGATATGTAATATTATTATTCTGTGTTATACTTTTAACTCATATTTATATAGATATAATTAGAACTCAATATGTTTATTTTGTATAAAATAAATTGAATAAATATACTGTAAGAAATTTTTCTAAAGGTTCTTTAATAAAGTATTTTTATTCTTTTTTATATACTTAATATAATTAAAAAAGTATTTTATTTTGTAATTTAGAAATGATATTTACTTTATAATTCTTGATTGTAATTCTATTAATTAAATCTATTACTCTTTTAATATTAATTAAATTTAATTAACATTCAATTAAATTACTTCAGTTATTTCTTTTTTTTTTTTCACTTCTTTTGATTAAATTAATTTTATTGTTTATTTTAAGTTCTAATAATACTACTGATTTCTCATGGAAAAGAGAAATTCTACAGAAAAATAAGGGTTATTTTTTTGTAAAAGAAATAATAAATTCCAAATAATACTAAATTGCTTTTTAATAAATCATTTAAAAAAAAAACTAATCAATAATACCAATTTAACAAACTTATGTTGTTTTATTTTTTATTGAAAATTATTCTTTTTTAAGTATTTTCAGATAAGTATTTTTTTTCTTTTGTTCAAATTATACTATTAACTCTATTTTAAATTCTTAAAAAAAAAAGTATTGATGAAATAATAATATCATACGGAGTTTTTAGAAATAGAATTATAACTCGAAAACTTCCATCTTTCTAATTCATTTAAATTTATAACATTATGCCTAAAGGGGTTAGTTGCATTATTACAATAATTATTACCATACTCTGTTTTACATTAATTGTTATGACAGTATTTTGTATTAAAGGAACAAATAATATGAATATTATTTTATCTAAAGAAGAAGTTAAACAAAAAGAGAAAAAAGGACTTTTAGAAAGATATGCAGAAGATAGATTGACTCAGTACCTTAAAGACAAATTAGAGGAAAAAGATTTTTACAAACAGATCTATAGTAAAGACTCACAACTTGAACCAGTTGATCTTTCAAAATATTCCTATAGGTTATTAGCTAGTCGTGATAATGTAAAAAGTGTTTCTCAAGAAAAATTAAAAACAATTTTTGAATATAAAATGAAAATGATAGAAGAAGTACCTCGATTTAATGGAAGATATCCTTATGATTTTACAGCTCAAACAAATCTTGAAAGAATAGGTGAAAAAATTGAATTTGATCCAATACCAATCAATGACACACTTCCAGATTATTGTAATGGAAGAGTTGATATTCTTTGGTTATATGTTAATGGAGATGAACCAAACTGGAAGAGAGAATTTGGAAAATATGTTGAAGGAGATATACCTCAAATAAGATATAGAGATTATGAAACAATAAAATATTCAATGAGAAGTGTTTTTGAAAATGTTCCATTTGAACTTCACTGGCATCTTATTGTACAAGATGAATATCAAATTCCTTCATTTTTAAATAAAAGTAAATTAATTTATTATAATAGTGAGTCAACACCTGATAGTCTTCGTGTTATTTATCATCGTGATTTCTTTCCTAAAGAAGCCTCTTTACCAACATTTAATTCTAATGCTATTGAGGCTGCATTAGCAAATCTAAAAGGTATTAATGAATGTTTTATTTATTTAAATGATGATATGTTAATTAATTCACCTATTCACGCGTCAAATATATTTGACAAAGATGGTAAAATGAGAGTATATCAAAAAACATGGGTTGCACCATTTTTATTCAGAAATAAATACAACCAATGGGATAGAACAATATCAAATGCAAATGAACAAATGAATAAAGTTTTTAATGTTGATAAAAGAAGACATTATATTGCACACCATTGTTACTTCTTTAGAAAGAGTAATTTAAAAAGACTTTATAATGATCTTTATCAACCATTATTAGAGTCAATGAAAAAAAGAACTAGAAGTGATACAGATCTTGCACTTCCATTTCTTCAAGGAAATTATTTATTAGAACAAGGACTTGGAGTTCCTATGTTTGAAACAAACCCCATTTTAGTATATTATTCGATAGAAGAAGGTATATTAAAAAACCAAAATTTATTAAAAGAAATTAAAATGAAGAAAACTCCATTCGTTTGTGTAAATGATAATTTTAATGGTAAAGACATGTACCTTGTTGATGAGGCTATTTCATTTTTTAAGTCAGAGATGGATAAAATTTATCCAAAGAAAACTCCATTTGAAATTTGAAATATCTTTAATTTATACATTTATTATTTCTTATTAGTTTTTACCTTTTAATTAATCTTAAAATTTTATAAATTTATTTAATGGAAACTGATTTAATAAATAACTTAAAACTTTCATCTTATGACCTTCTTGAAACTATTGACAAAAATAATGAACGAATAGAATGTCCTCAATGTCATAAACATATGAAGTATTATTGTTATAATTGTAGAAAACAATTACTACCAACACCTATAGTTAAACTTCCAATCACTCTTGATATTGTAATGCATCCTAAAGAAAGGCCAAGTAAATCTACTGCATTGGCTGCAACAATTTTAGCACCTGAAGACACACATTGGATTGTATTTCCAGATGTCCCAAAATATAATGAGAAAACAACACTACTTTTATTTCCATCACCAGACGCTCAACCTCTTGATAAAATAGAACATCTTGAACAATACAAAACCATTGTTTGTATTGAAAGTGTTTGGCAAAAAGCTAATCAAGTCGCAAATAGTCCTAATCTATGTAATTTAAAGAAAGTTATTATCCAATCAAAAGAAACAATATTTTGGAGATACCAACACTGTGGAAAAAGTAATTTAGCTACCATTGAAGCTATTTATTATTTCTATAGAGAATGGTATGACGCAATGAAATGGGATTATACAAATCAAGTTGATGATTTATTATATTTCTATTGTTATACATATCAAAAAATACAAGAACATTATAAGAAACATCCAGAACTTCAATTTATTCATATAGATGGTTATATTCATTATGATGAAGAAAAAAAATAATTAGATAGTATTTTTATCAATAAACAGTTAATAATTTTAAGTTGTTTTTTTTTTAAAAAAAAGAATTTTAAAAACACTAAAATATCAATGAGTGAAAGTAATGAAAATGATAACACTACAACAGATAGTGATATCATAGAAAAAATGCAAAACGCGTATGACTCTTTGTTTAAAATAAGAAGGTATGAAAAATTTCTTGGAGTAAAAGAAGAAGAAGTAAGTGAAAATTGTCCAGATGTTTTTGAAATGAATATTGGAGATAATGAAATTAAACAAAGCGTTTCTAACCCCAAACTTAATGAAGATAGTTCTTCCACTAATAATAAAGAACATAAAAATTCGTCAGAAAATGAAGATAAAAATTTACAAACAATATTTATTAAAATTCAACAAAAATTAAAAGAAGAAAAATTTGAAGAAGAAGAATTGGATTCAATAAAAAATATTAATAAAAAAAAAGATGACACAATAAAACAACTACCAACAGACAATACTATTTTAACTAAAACAACACTCAAAAAGAACAAATCAAAACCTAAAGACAAAATAATAGAAGAGGAAGAACTTAATCATACTATTCAAAAAACAAAACTGATTGAAGAAAATGCTGATACAAAAATTAATGATTACATAAAAACAAATGAGTCAATTCAACACCAAACTAAAACAAATCCTCTTAGTTTAAATAAAAGTTATCAGTTCACTGAATTAAATGAAGGAAAAAAGAAACCAAAACTTCCTAAAACAGAACAAGATGAAGAAAAAAATAGAAAGGTACCTCTCTTAAAAAAGGCAAAAACTTATGAAGATTTTCTTGTTGAACAATATAGAGAAACTTCTATTAAAAATCTAAAACGAAGAACAAAGAAAACAAATAAAAAAAAAGTGCAAAAAATAGTTAAAGAATATGATAATGAAAGTAAAAAAGAAAAGGTATTGCCAAATAGAAATAATGATATAATACAAAGATTTATTGAATTAACCAAAGGACAATCCATAAAACATGAAAATGAACCAAAAGATAAACGAAGTACAAAGAATCGTATTGTTCAAAGACTTAGAAAGAATCCAAAGAAAGTAGAATTTTTAATTGATGAGTATATTCCTTATATGTATTTAAAAGAAAATACTAATGACCAACCTCTTAAGAAACCACAAAAATCAAGAATTTTTGAAAAAGAAGATAAAGAGAATACTCATAAAATAAACAATTCTATTCATTCTCAAGTATTTTTATCATCAAAAATTAATAAAGAAGATAATAATTATAAAAAAGTTCTCTTTAATCCTATTATTAAAAAAGGATGTAATGATATTTATGTCTATCTTAGTGGATTTGAAGATGAACAAAAAGAACTTTACTCAGAGTCATTAGATGGGATTCCTCATCTTCATGTAATAGAAATATATAAACGTGCAACACATATTGTATGCCATAATTTTGGTAGAACAATTAAAATGTTAAAAGGAATTTCTGATGGTAAATGGATTCTTAGTGAAGATTGGATTGAAGCAATAATAAAGAATAATGCTATTATAGAAGAAGAAGAATATGAATGTACAAAATATATTGCTTGCAAACAACAACGATTAAACAAGGTTCAACTTCTAAATGGGTTAAAAGTGTATTTAAGTTCTTTTCCTAAAAAAGAAGTTATTGGATTTAAAAAATTAGAATATATGTTTTTATTAAGACAATGTGGTGCAAAGATTGTAAAAGATAAAAAAGAATCAGATATTAATATTGGATTTGAAAAAGGAAGTATCCAATGTGATTGGTTATTTGATAGCATTTGTAGTAACTGTCAATTAGAAACAAAAGACTATATTATTTAAAAGAATAAAAAGTATTTTTATATATTATTAGTTTGCTTTAATTCTTTTTTGTTATTTTTTATAAAAAAACTATAAAAAAACTATAATTTCAACCAGAAATGTCTTTTTCTTCCAATTCTGAGTCTTGGCATTCTTTTAGTAACTCTACTCCTATCTCAGGACTTCAGTCTAAAGCCACTTCACCAAAAAGAAAAAATATACAACCTACTACAATATCTTCATTGACTAAAGAAAAATTTATATGCAAAGATATATATGAACATTGGGGATTAATTTGGTACACTTATCATAGAACATTGAAAATAAAAATGAAGGAAGTTCTCACTAATGTTTCTTGGAAATATCGTTTGTTTTATTATTATTATTATTATTTATTTTTTAACATTAATAATTTTAATGCCTATTTGTGCCTATTAATGTTATAGATAGAACAACAACAATTTCATCACAATATGTGTCTCGTGTTGTATTAACAACTCAACCCGATCATTCAACAAAGAAAATTGATATAGAATGGGAAAGTAAAACACCAAATAGACATAGTGCAATGGAACTAACTAAATTTGGAATGAACCAGTATTTCCGTTTGTTATCTTTAAACAATTCAATTAGAAAATCTAAGTCAATGATTAAAACAACTTACGTTCCAACTCGATTTCTATTTTGTTATGGAACATGTCCATTTAATGGAACAGAAGTAGAAGATGTAGTTTTTTCAATTCATTTTCCATTCTTTATTGAAAAAGTAGGAGGATCAAGGGCTTCATTAATTTTAACTTGTTCATTAAATTTTCCAGTACTACCAACACCATTAACTAAAAACCATTTCTTCTTTGATACTCTTTATGACTCATTAAATCTAATTATTTATAAATTTTATGTAATTCATTTCAGTACAGGAAATGCTTTAGATTTTATTATTAATGAAATAAACAATTTAATAGACTCTATAGAAAAAACATTAGTATCTTTAACATTCCCTAAACCAGAACTTCTTCCAATTGAAAATTATTTACCACAATCAAATATTTCAAAACAGTTTAAAGATGATATTTCTTTTATTTCGTCAGCTATTTCTGCTCATCAACAAACTTATACAACAATATGTATTACTTCAAATAGTAAATGTGCAAGTGCATTTATGAATCTTTTTGAACCATTTAATACACCAATTCATATGGGACATTATTATCCAATGTTTTTTTATCCAGTTGTATTAGAAAAACCAATTCCATTATTTTCTATTGTTTTTACACCAGAAATATCTGTTGAAAGTTATATTAATTTTCCACTTCCTTTTTGTATAATAGATCCTTCTCGTCGTTCAGTTCAAATATGTTCTGCTTTATCTTTACCAACACATTTTCATAATCGTGCACATGAATTAATTCAGTGGATGATTCAAACTCAAAAAATAGATAAATTATCAGTAATTAAAATAAGAAAAGTTCAAACAAGTAATTATCAATCGATAGTAAAGAATGCTAGGTTATCGACTTATGTTATAACCCATATTTCACCTTTCTTTTCTTTGTCTTTACATCAAAGAAAAATGTTATTACTTAGATTTTCTGAAGAACTTGGAATGAGAGGAAATATATTCTTTAATTCTGTAAAATATGGAGATGTTCATCTTGACCGTAATTGTCAATGGATTCGTTTATTTGAAGAGATATATGGTTGTGATTTAGAAGGTCTGACATTAATATTAGCTTCTATGAAATTATATCAACCTATTCTCATCCCAAGAACATTATGGCTTCTTCAACAATATGAAGAAGCATTAAAAATAAATTTTATTTAATCTACATTTTATGTGTTTGACTCTTTAATTAAATAGATATACAAATATATTGAATGAAATTAAATGGAATAGAATGAAACCTTTTTCAATTGAATCTTTATTTTAATACCACAAAAATACTTTATCACTTTTTCTTTTTATCTTTTTCTTTCTTCTTTTTATCTCCATTCTTTTCAATCAATTGTTCTTGTTGAAGACGTTGTAATTCTTTCATTCTATCATCTTCATTTCCCCTACGAGCTCTTCGAGGTGTAGAAGAAGGAGACTCTCGAGAAGGAACTTTAATTTCTAGATTATTGGTATTTAATTTAAAATCTTCACAAGTATCAGTCGATCGAGTTCTACTAATAGAAATAATTGATGAATTTAATGGTTTCTTATGAAGTCCAATTTCAAAGTCTAGTCCAGCATTTCTTCTATTTCTTTTTGTTTGGGCAATACTTTTGATTCTTTCAACTTGGTCAAAAATAATAGAATTCCAAGTATCAGATTCTAACAAAGTAGAACATGAAAATTTATATGGAATTTGAGATATCTTTAAATTTACAAGATTTTTACATACATTTTCATGTGAACAATATTCAACATATGTTTCTGTATTAAATATACATTCTTTTATTATTTCAAATTGCCAATTACTTAACTCTTCTACTTTTTTCATATTTCTTAATTTTGCAAATGCATCAACAAAATCTTTAATTGGTTTGTTATCAATACTAATTGGCATTGTTTCAACTAATCTATCATTAAACAAAAAGCAATACATCCATTTTTGTGGTATTTCTGTAACTTTTTCTACAATAAATAATGGTCCACAACAAAGAAATTTACGAGTAATAATAGTGTCATTGCTAAATAGTCCTATAATTGTTTTTCTTATCATTAGATATTTTTCACTTTCTTCAATTCTTATTTTCATCATATTTACACTGTCTGAACATTTTACTGAATCTAAATATGCTTTCTTTAATAATTCTAATTCAAAAAATCCTTTTCCTACATGAGTTAACATTGTTTTAATTAATGATTCATATTTTGGTGTTTGAACAAGTGGACGATTAAGATAAAACATTAATGGATGAATTTCAGTTTCTAATGTTTGTTGCATAAATGGTTCTTTAGCTTTATTTTGTGCTTTTATAATAGATGAATCTTTACAAACTTCATCTAATACATGTTGGTATGTATTAAAATTATTAACAAATGTTGCCTCCATTTTTAAAAATTGAATATTTTTAACAAACTCTGAACCAATTCCAGGTATTCCTTGTTGTGTTTTTTTACTTTTAACAAAAGTGTCTAAGAAATTCTGATGGATATTCATCATTACATCAATTTGTTGAATTATTTCATTTATTGTTGTAACATGTTCTTTATTGACTAATTTTATTATTGGACTTAAATAAACTTCTTTTAGTGTTCTTAAATTCATAAGATGATCTCTTTCTCCATTTTCTAATTCTTGAATAACATTAACGTAACACCTTTCATCTTCTGGAGTCATTTCTCTCTCTTCAATCTTTTTAAAGAATGCTTCAATGTTTGTTTTGGGATGATCAAAATTATCTTGTAATATTTTAGCTACAGTAACAATAGGTCCAGAACAAGTAACTAATGACCCAACTTCTTTAGCTTTATATTTGATTGTTAGTCTGTCATATATATGAGAATAACTCTTCTCAGGAGTACTAACAGATTCAGAAATATTTTCATTTAATTGTATTTGTGCTTTCTTTTTCTTTTCTTCTCTACCTTTAATTGCTTCTATTTGATCATTTATAATTGATTTCCAAACTTCTTTTTGTTCATCTGTTGGTGCAGCATATTTGATTAAAGCAAATGGTGTTTTTTCAGCTTCTTTTTGTGGGGTTTCAAATGCAAGTAACATCATGACATGTTTTACCATAGAACTATCTCCTTGTGGCATAACTTTAGATTGTGTTTGGAGGTAGTAAACTTTAGAGAATACAAATTTAATATTATGTAAGTCTTCAAAATCCTTTAACTCAGTCAATTCTTTAAATAACACTGGATCAAAAACTCCTTGTTCTTCTTTAATTTTAACACCATTAAAACGAATTACTTTAGTTTCTACAATAATATCATTAAATAAAAATAAGTAAACAATATTACTTGGAAAATCGTTCATATTTTGAATAGCAAATACTGGTCCACAACAAATAAATTTACGAGCTGATGAATTAGGAAGTTCTGGAAAATCACTTATAACTTGATGAATGAGTGACACTTTTTCATTTTCTTCTAATTGCATTCTAGTTTGATTAACACCTCTACCTGATTCTTTAGCATCTAAATAAGCTTTCTTTAATTGTTCTAAATCTGGAAAATCTCTTCCAACATCTTTTAACATATCTCTAATAAGTAATTCATATCTTGGAATACGTTGAATAGGTGTAATAAGATAAAATGACATTAATTCAATTTTACAATTATTATGTGATTTACTATATTCTTGTTTAGCTTTATTCTGTGCCTTTACAACATCTTTTTCTTTATTCATAATCTCAGTTAAACCTTCAAGATAACTGGAATATTTTGAAATATATGTAGCAGCCATTTTTAAGAATTGAATATTTTTTACAAAATTAGCTCCTAACATTGGTAGTTCTCCTTCATTTGATGTCTTTTCTCCTTCTTCCATCATTTTTAAAAATTTTTTATGAACTCCAATAATAATTTCTATTTGAGAAATTATTCCTTTAACAAAAGTAACACTTTCTGAATTAGTTGATTTAGTAATGGGAAATAAATAAACTTCTTTTAAAATTTCTAGTCCTTTAATATGTATTCTTTCTGTTTCAGTCATTTCATGAACAACCATTTTATAATGTTCGTTATTTTTTTCCGTCATTGTTCTTTCATCTATTGATTTAAATAATTGTTCATCACTTCCAGTTTTATGTTGATTTTCTAAATCAGATAATGTTTTACATATACTACTAATAACATTACCTGATGTTACTAAATTGCCTGGAGTATCAGATATATATTGAATACTAAATTGTTGTAAATTTTTATTTTTTTCATTTGATGATATTAACGGAACAATACTACTATTTACTTTTGTTGTTCCAATAATTGATGTTCCTGATGATGAATTAGTAGAAACTGATGATGCATCTGATATTCTTTTTGAAGATTCTGTATTAGATGCACTTGAATCATTACTACCAATACAAGACGCTGTAGAAGAAACGTGTCTCATATGTTCTAATCTAGACAATTCAGAAGTAACAATATCCCCTTTACTTTTTTGAGCTTTTTCTTTATTTTCTATTATTTCATCTACATATCTAAATTGATCATAAATAATTGATTTCCATGCTTCTTTTTCTTCTTGTGTAAAGGTAGAATATTTTGCTAATGTTGGAAAATCTTTTTCAACATTTCTAATAACTTTATATTCTCTTAATAAAATAGAAAATAAATTTTTTACTTCACTTGTATCATTAATTGGTTTAAATGTACATGCACCTAATGTAAATGGTAATTCTCTAATTAATTCAAATTCATATGTTTCTAAGTCTTTAATATTTTTTACTTCTTTTAAATTATTAAATGCTTTCTTTAAACTCTCTCATCTTCAGTACTAACTGATTTTCCTGCAATTTTTAATGGTTTTGTTTCAAGAAGAACATCATTGAATAAAAAGATATACATTAATTTAGATGGTGGTGTATTAACATTTTCAATAAAGTACATTGGTCCACAACAAATAAATTTTCTAAAAACTTCGTCTTTTATTTTTAATTCACCTTTAATTATATCTCTTACCATTGTATATTTTTCGTTTTCTTCTAATTGCATCTTAACTTGATTAACTCCTTTACCTGATTCTTTTGCTTGTAAATAAGCTTTCTTTAATTGTTCTAAATCTGGAAAATCTCTTCCAACATCTTTTAACATATCTCTAATAAGTAATTCATATCTTGGAATACGTTGAATAGGTGTAATAAGATAAAATGTTAATGGTTGAATTGATCCTATAGTAATATTTTCATCTTTATGTTCATTAATAAATTTTTCTTTTGCCTTCTTAACACTTTTTTCAATAGAAGAATCTTTTTGAGTAATTTCAGTTAATTTTTTCATATAATTATCATAATTACCAATATATTGAGATGCCATTTTTAAAAATTGTAAACTATTAACAAACTCTTTACCTAACATTGGTAATTCTCCAGGTTTTGTTTCTTTTAATCCTTTTTGAAACATTTCAAGGAAATTTTGATGTACTTCAATAATAATATCAACTTGTGTTAAAACATCACGTATAAATGTTTCATCACTTTTAGAAACGCATTTACTTATGGAATA